AATCATCAATCATCAATCATTTTAGTAATTAACAGTTAATAATACCTTTGTGTCACCTTCAACCTCGTTTCTTCTGTTTGTGGATTTTCCATTGTTTGAGCAGAAATTCCACTCCCTCTTTCAGTGTTGCCTTTCTGTTGTCCTTTTTGTTCCAAAGCTCTGGTAATGGATATCTTCCACTTGGATTGTATTCATTCAGCTCTTTTAGAGCTGTCACTACATCATTGTATACATCCTCATCGCATTCACTTTTTAACATTGAAATCTTCTCATCTTTTTCATTCACTATTTCCTGTCACACCAATAATAAGTTAGAAAAAGTGTTAAATGAGGTTTTATGTATATGCTAATTAAGATGATAAATTCATAATCATACCTTGCATTCGTCTCCAATGGTGATGACCTTGAATGGATGCCAGTTTGGATCCCTGAGATGATCCTCCCACATTGATACAAACTTCACTGCATCCTCTGCTTCCTTTTCACTTAAACGCTTCTTAGCAGCAATGATGAATGGTTTTGCATCAAGCTCACCCATTCTTTTTATACCAATATAGGCACGACCAGAAGCAGATATTTCATTCATACCCTGTTTCACACAAACAAAACATCAGGGATAATAAAAAGGTAAATTACACTATTTTATTATAAATTAATAAACATGCAGAAAACAGTTGGAAGGAAAGAAGGAAAAAAGCTGCTGACAGAAATCAACTCTTTGCGAGCATCCTGTAATTCATCATTGCTTAATCTTTCTTTGATTATCAATGCTTGATTAAGCTCTTCCAAACCCTCATATTCCTCTTCTTTTTCTTTCAGATCTTCTTTAATCGACTCAAATTTCTTCTTTGCTTCAACATCTTCATGAGTCATGTGCTTCATTACTTCCATGGCTCCTTCCATCTGTTTGATCTCTAGCTCCAATCGTTGCTTATCATCAAGCTTCTTTTGAAGATCAATAATCTTGTAGTGAAGTTTCTCTTTCTCTCTCTGTAAAAGTATTCATACCTTATAATATATAAAAAGGAACCTCAAGAATACATTATACAAAACAAACCTTCTGATCATCAGCCAATTTCAACATCCTCTCGTCTGCTTTCTTCTGTTCCAAAATTGCCAATTCATTCTGCAAAAAATGTAAACACAAGATAGTGTTAAACAAATAAAAAGTTTTAACATATGATGAAAGTGAAACACAATACCATTTTCTTCTCATTGTCAAGCTTCTTTTGCTCACTTTCGTTTAGAGCTTCACGTGCTCTCAGTTCCTTTTCATGTTCTTCAAGCTGCAATTTGCTCTCTTCATGCTCAATGGAAATCTTTTTAAGCTGCTCATTCACCTTCTCTTGCATCGTTTTATGTTCTAATCAAGTACAAAGTTAGGAACAAAAGAAAAGATCCAGATTTCAGTGTAACCTTTCATGAAAAACAATCAAAATTAATACCTCTATTGTAGTTCTCAATCATCACATTGAAGTTCTCAATCATCACTTCTTTCTGTTTCATAACAAAATACATATGGGAATCTGTCTTGCTTATTTCAGTCTGGATCTCTTCACTTCTTTTGTTCTTTTCTTCCAACATTGTTTTCAATCCCATGAGAAGTTTAGAATTCTTCACTTCATCTTCTTTTTCAACTTCAGAAACAGTCTTTAGGTCACCATGTTTTCTCAGATAATCACCAACAAGACCATTGGAGTTATAATCTTCATCTCTTGCAATCCAAGCATAAAGATTAGTGTCATTGCGACTTGTCCCATTATACCAATCTTTCCTCCCATGTTTGTTTACCTCAAAAGCCTTCACAAACATCATTGCATAACCAAATCCACTCCATTCTTTTCCAAATTCAACCACAGCAAATCCTGAGTGACCCTTCCAGCTCCATAGAGGATGAACTTTTTTAGGGTTGTAACCTTGATTTATCCACTCATCTTTTAGTCTTTTTCCACTATCACCTGTATACCTACCATTTTTATACTGAACAGGGATGTTAGCAACCACACACATCCATGGCCAAACAACTGGCTCTTCTCTATTCGTGTGCCTTGACATGTCACTTTTACTTGTTGATTCTAAATCCTTGATTTTAGTATCAAATTCTCTTTCTAGAAACTCCTCCAGTCCCATATGCTTGGCTTTTTCTTTCAAACCACTGCTTCTTGATTCTCTTGCAATCCTAGATGCATGCCTACAGAGGTCCTCCATGTAAGTGTATTCTCTACTCTCAGGACAATAAGGACATTTGAGAATCTTTTCTGAAAACTTGACATTGACACGTCCCTCTTTCAGTTCCTTGAAAGAAGTGTTTTTATATTCCTCAAATTCAGGATCAGTAAAGATTGTCTCTTCTTTTCGTTCAGTCATCATGCACCTAATCTGCAAAATATCAAACGCAAGAATTGAGCTGCATAACATCACTCATAAAAGGAAAACCTCTACTGAGAGCTTGAATTTTAAAAGATATTGAAACTCATTTGACTCATGTTACAAATGAAATCAACAGCTATAAACTAAAAAAGATAATGTTTTACAGAAACAACAAGAGATTAACAGTAACAACTAACAGCAACAAGCATTTAACCCTGAATTAGTTGGGTATGCTAAATGAATTAATGAAATTACATATGAAACTAGGTAAACCCTTTACCTAAAGGAAAAGAAAAACATGTATGCAGATAGCCAGATACAATCAATTCTCCAAACATTCATATGAGCGTCTACTTGTAGGATCTCAATATATATAACTAGTTAAACAAACTGGAGTTTCAATTTCCAGTTTAACAGGGCAATGCGTGATATGCAAGTAAACACAAAGAAGTCAAGAATCAACAAGGATAACATCTAAGCCAACTTAATTAGATTGCTCGCCTGCAGAAATAAAGGCATTACGCTAGATTAACATAAATAAACCACTTATTTTTTGCAAAATTTCGGGGGAAATAGCCAACAAATCACCATTACAACCCTCAATCTGGAGGGAACGATAAGCATGAGGAGAAAAAAGAGCTTCGCATACGACTACAAACATGATAGTAAGCTGAAATGTGTATTATCCTTAAGCAAAATATATCACAGTAACAATCAACAAGCTCAACAGAATGAACAAAAGTTATCCATTAGTTTACCGCAAACTCTATTTTGCTGCGATGATATGATCTACGATCAACTACAAAACTTATTACATTGTAGTCAAAACTAAAAATAATAAACAAAATCAACCTATAAATGATCTACGAAGCACAAACTTAAAAGCTTTAGTTAACTCGATTTCATGAAAAACAGGGAGTATATTGTATAGCACAGAAGTTCAGACAAACACAAAACGAAGATTGGAATAGTATACCTTACGTTTGGAGAAGTTTGAAGTAGTAGGATTCGAAATGCAAAAACAAAAAACCTAAGTTAGGATCGTTTGGGTTTTTGCACTGGTGACGAGGAAGCTATCGATCAAACTTGAGCAAACTTTTTGAAGAAAGGGTAAAGCAGATTTGAGTGAGCGTAGGTTTATAGGGTTGTTGATGCGTGATTCTGTGAATTTCCAAGGGATTTGTACGAAAAGCTGAGACGGATATGATGATTTGAAGGAACTGTCTCTGTAAATGGTAGTGGTAATGGCATTGTATCTGTTGTGTGTTCTTCCCATAATAACAAAGAACGAGTATATCATGAGCTGACGTGGCATTCTTATTTTATGCGCCCACCTACACTCTCGGAAATATCTCATTATTTTTTTGTTTTATTTTGTAGGGTAAAAAATGTGAGAGACTATTGATAAGTAGCTGGAAGCTAACTAAAGTTAGAAAAAGGAAATACTAAATGTAGCAAATTGGAAAATTAGAGGGGTAGCATGTGAAGTTAAATAAGACTTGAAGGACTGATATGAAATTAAGTAACGCCGTATTATTTGTTTAATGCGTTGTTTGTTTGAAACCTGTAACTTGTAAGCCTTATTTAACATTTAAAGTAGTTGATTTTTAACTATCTAATGCTTATGGTAAGTAAATATTGGAAGTACATGCAAAAGAAATCTTACTAATTTAGGAAGTTAAAATTTGTAATAGAGTAAATTACAATAATGGCCCTTACGTTAAGTTATTTATTTATTTTTTTGCAACTTCAGTCCTAATTGGACAACGAGCATACACAACAAGAAATATAAGCTTTAAGGACGACACCATTAGGGACAACATGAAGTTTTAGGGACGACACTCGACAATACACGTTTTTGTCGTCGCTAAAGCCTCACGTCGTCGCTAATAAAGGCGTCGCTAAAGAGTTTGATCGGCGATCCGCGTGAATGCTTCCTGATCAATTTTTGTCCCTACGATTGCATCCTGATCCAACGGATGGGGCTAATTACTGTTCACACCAATAGGGGCGACGCCATTTGTGACAACGCTGTCGCCGCTAAAGGTGGCGAAAATATGAGCGCGTGAATTTCCCTCCAAATTGTCGTCTCTAAAGATTCAAAGTCGTCCCTAAAGGTGTCGCCCCTAAAGGGTTCCATATTTTGTTCCCCATCAGGTCGCAGAACGTGATTATTTTCCAATTTCTATTTCTCTCTCATTTTTCCGCCGACAATTAGGAAGCATTTTCCGGCGAATTTCAGTGCATCCCACTTCTTCTGCCGGAGGGATTTGCAGCTTCTCACCGGTTCCAGTTGCTCCACCGGCGACTATCACCACCTCAGCTCGCCACCGTCTCCGACGAACTTCTCCACCGGCGAAGGTGCGTTTCCCTTTCTCATTTCCACCGTCTTTTCTTTTTCTCTTTCTCTTTCTCTTTCTTTCTTCTCTAATTTTGTTGATTTTGGTGGTTTTAAGGAGATTTCTCTAATCTCCGGCTTTTAGAACCACCACATCAACGCCATTGTTGCCACCTGTCTCCGTCGACGACCACTGTCTCCGGCGACATCCACCGTCTCCGACGAACTTCTCCACCAGCTCCACTGTTTTCAGCTCTACAACCACAGGTGCGTTGAATTTTTGTGTATATGTGTATGTATAAATTTGATATATGTTTGTATGTTTATTTTGTATAAGGAATTTGATATATGTGTATGTCTATTTGAAAATGTATTTCAAGAAAATGTGTTTGATATATGTGTATGTCTATATGTGTATATGTATATGTATGTTTGGAATATGTATATGTCTATTTGGTATGTTTGGAATGTGTATATGTCTATTTGGTATTTTGTATATGTGTATTTGTATATGTATAATTGGTATTTTGTATTTGGTATTGAATTGGTATGTGTATATGTCTATTTGGTAAGTGTATATGTATGTATGTGCATTTGAAAATTTGTTTCAAGAAACTGTGTTTGATTGTATATTAATTTAGTGTATATATGATGTTATAATTGCAAATATGTATATGGTTTGATTTACGATAAAAGGAGTGTAAAGATAGCATCAGTGCAACTACATAGGAGTATATATTATTTAAATTTCAATAGTATAAAATATTGTTACAAATAAACTAAAAAAATCAAATGTAAAGATAACATCAATGCAACATTTTTAAATAACAACTTTTTGCTCATAAATAATATGTATGAATAATAGAAAAAAAAGAACCGCATAAAACTTTTGTAGAGTGACTTAATTGTTAAGTAATAATAATTTGTTTTTATAGTATGATATATTTTAACTTATATTCTTACTTTGTAGGATGTGGATGTTAATGTTTTTTCTCCAAAACCCGACGTTTGTGACGGCAATTGGAATATTTATCCGCTCATTTAGCAAGCAAGTCGACAATGCGACCAACAACGACGATGAAAACGATGATGAGGAAGACGATTAGTATATATTGTTTTATGTTATGGATGATGTTATTATGGATTTAGATGATGTTAATGTGATATACTTTGTTTATGTTATTTAATGTTTTATGTAATGCCAAATTTAAATTATATGTTTGATAATTTTATAAATTCTGCATTTTTATACTATAAACTAATATAAAATATAAATTTTATCTAAAAAAAACAATCATTAGTGGCGACACCTTTAGGGACGCTCTTAAGCATTAGCGACGACACAACCCGCCGGAATATTTGGCCGAAATAATACTGGCCGGTGGCCGGAATATTATTAGGGACGACACCTTAGGGACGACGAGTGGTATCAGCGACGATAAAGTATTAGAGACGACGCCTTTAGGGACGACTTTGGAGTATTAGCTACGAGGTATTTGCGGCGACCCAATTGAGACGACATGTCGTCCCTAATACCTTTAGGGGCGACTTTCTTGACTATTAGCGACGCTTTTTGTCGTCCCTAAGGTGCCTTTTCTTGTTGTGATAGCGATATTATATAAACCTTTCAATGAAAATTTATACACTTGAAAACATAGAAGTCTTTACACACCAAAGGGTATAAGTGTAATCGTAAAGTTGTTGGCTTTGTTTTAGTTATATTTTCCAACTTGAGGACATGAAAAACAATTAAAGTATAACACCTTTTTGCCATAACAATATCCAAATTGGACAGTGAGCATAAATGTAAAATGTCCACGACAAATCATTGGCAAAGCTTGACTATTACCATAACGTGTAACAAACACCAATACTGGTTTAGACAAATTAAGAAACCAAAGAGAGGTCACATGGGGAGGAAAATACTAAATATATTTTCTGTTTGGTTCAATTCAACACCCTTTTTACCTATTTTATATGTATTTTAACTCAAATATTACAAATAAACAAACTATAAGAACGGTTTTATATCTATTAATATGTAAACATTCGTATTTATATTTTGTTTATGTGATAAAATACAAAAAAAGAACGTGTAAACCAAGTATTAATAATGTAAAAGTTGTATTATTTGGTAATATGTATTATATGAAAATACATACTTATTTATAAAAATATATTAGAAATACGTTTTATATGTATTTAAACATATTAATACGTATTATGTAAACATATTAATACATTTTATATGTATTTTATATGTTAGGGAAGTTCCCTTTCCAAAAAAAAAAACATATTAATACGTAAAAATACATATTATATATTTGTTTTACGACATAGCACCCCATTGTTGAAGTCAAAGCGAATATATTAATATATAAGAAAGGAATGCACTTGCATATCCTTAGAATTTTCCTATATATCTTTTTTATAAATATTTTTTAATATATATTAAATTCTATGTTTGTATTACCTTGAATCTATATTTGCATATCATATTTTTTTTTTATCTTGAATCTATATTTGCATATCATATTTTTTTTTTATTCTAAATCCGCCATTAATTGAAGTTGTAAGATTCGAACCCCCTCAAATGTTTCATACCAGATTATTACCACTAGGCCACACTGACGGTGGTTAATTACATATTTTTATATGTATCAATATGGTATACGTAATACATGAAAATGATGGTTCAAATTACAAAAAT